GTTCAGGACCCACATATTTTCTACCTTAACTGTAAAAAAACAGATATTTAATATTTTGGATGTTTACAAAGAACAAAGAAAATTACAGCACAGGAACAGGCCCTTTGGCCCTCCAAGCCTGCACCGATCCAGATCCTCTATTTAAACCTGTCGCCTATTTTCCAAGGATCTGTATCCCTTTGCTCCCTGCCCATTCGTGTATCTGTCTAGATACATCTCAAATGACGTTATCATGCCCGCCTCTACCGCCTCCGCTGGCAACACGTTCCAGGCACCCACCACCCTCTGCATAAAGAGCTTTCCACGCATATCTCCCTTAAACTTTTCTCCTCTCACCTTGAAATCGTGACCCCTAGTAATTGTGTCCCCCACTCTGGGGGGGAAAAGCTTCTTGCTATCCACCCTGTCTTTACCTCTCTTGATTTTGTAGACCTCAATCAGGTCCCCCCTCAACCTCCGTCCTTCTAATGTAAATAATCCTAATCTACTCCACCTCCTCTTCATAGCTAGTGCCCTCCATACCAGGCAACATCCTGGTGAACCTCCTCTGCACCCTCTCCAAAGCATCCACATCCTTTTGATAATGTGGCGACCAGAACCTTATGCAGTATTCCAAATGTAGTCGAACCAAAGTCCTATACATCTGTAACATGACCTGCCAACTCTTGTACTCAATACCCCATCCGATGAATGAAAGCATGCTGTATGCCTTCTTGACCACTCTATCGACCTGCGCTGCCACCTTCGGGGTACAATGGACCTGAACACCCAGATCTCTCTGTGCATCAGTTTTCCGCAGGGCTTTTTCATTTACCGTATAGTTCGCTCTTGAATTAGATCTTCCAAAATGCATCACCTCGCATTTGCCTAGATTGAATTCCCTCTGCCATTTCTCCACCCAACTCTCCAATCTATCTATATTCTGCTGCATTCTCCGACAGTCCCCTTCACTATCTGCTACTCCACCAATCTTAGTGTCATCTGCAAACTTGCTAATCAGACCATCTATACCTTCCTCCAGATCACTTATGTATATCACAAACAACAGTGGTCCCAACACGGATCCCTGTGGAACACCACTGGTCATAGTTCTCCATTTTGAGAAACTCCCGTCCACTACAACTCTCTGTCTCCTGTTGCCCAGCCAGTTCTCTATCCATCTAACTAGTACACCCTGGACCCCATGCGAGTTCAGTTTCTCCATCAGCCTCCCATGGGGAACCTTATCAAACACCGTACTGAAGTCCATGTATATGACATCTACAGCCCTTCCGTCATCTATCAACTTTGTCACTTCCTCAAAGAATTCTATCAAGTTGGTAAGACATGACCTTCCCTGCACAAAACCATGCTGCCTATCACTAATAAGCCCATTTTCTTCCAAATGTAAATAGATTCTATCCCTCAGTATCTTCTCCAGCAGCTTCCCCACCACTGACGTCAGGCTCACTGGTCTATAATTACCTGGATTATACTTGTCCCCTTTTTTAAGAAGGGTAGCAACATTAGCAATTCTCCAGTCCTCCAGGACCTCACCCGTGCTCAAGAACGCTGCAAAGATATCTGTTAAGGCCCCAGCTATTTCCTCTCTCGCTTCCCTCAGTAACCTGGGATAGGTCCCATCCGGACCTGGGGAATTGTCCACCCTAATGCCTTTTAGAATACCCAACTCTTCTCTCCACCCCCCCAACCCCCCCCCCCCAACCTCATGCTGACTTGATCTAGAGTAATCAAACATCTATCCCTAACCTCAACGTCCGTCATGTCCCTCTCCTCAGTGAATACCGATGCAAAGTACTCATTAAGAATCTCACTCATTTTCTCTGACTCCTCGCATAACTTCCCTCCTTTGTCCTTGAGCGGGCCAACCCTTTCTCTAGTTACCCTCTTGCTTCTTGTGTATGAATAAAAGGCTTTGGGATTTTCCGTAACCCTGTTTGCTAAAGATATTTCATGACCCCTTTTTAGCCCTCTTAATTCCTCGTTTCAGATTGGTCCTATTTTCCCACTATTCTTCCAAAGCTTCATCTGTTTTCAGTCGCCTAGACCTTATGTATACTTCCTTTTGCCTCTTTGCTAATCTCACAATTTCACCTGTCATCCATGGTTCCCAAATCTTGCCCTTTTATCCCTCATTTTCACAGAGACATTCTGTCCTGCACTCTAATCAACCTTTCTTTAAAAGCCTCCCACATCAAATGTGGATTTACCCTCAAACAGTTGCTCCCAATCCAAATTCCCCAGCTCCTGCCGAATTTTGCTATAGTTGGCCTTCCCCCAATTTAGCACTCTTCCTTTAGGACCACTCGTCTTTGTCCATGAGTATTCTAAAACTTAGGGAATTGTGATCGCTATTCCCAAAGTAATCCCCTACTGAAACTTCAACCACCTGGCTGGGCTCATTCCCCAACACCAGGTCCAGTATGGCCCCTTCCTGAGTTGGACTATTTACATACTGCTCTAGAAAACCCTCCTGGTTGCTCCTTACAAATTCTGCTCTGTCTAAACCTCACACTAGGTGAATCCCAGTCAATGTTGGGAAAATTAAAATCTCCCATCACCACCACCCTGTTGCTCCTACATCTTCCTATAATCTGTCTACATATTTGTACCTCTATCTCCCACTCGCTGTTGGGAGTCCTGTAGTACAGCCCCAACATTGTTACCGCACCCTTTCTATTTCTGAGCTCTGCCCATATTGCCTCACTGCTCGAGTCCTCCATAGTGCCCTCCTTCAGCACAGCTGTGATATCCTTTTTGACCAGTAATCCAACTCCTCCACCCCTTCTACCTCCCTGCCTATGCCGCCTGAAGCATCTATATCCTGGGATATTTAGTTGCCAATCTTGTCCTTCCCTCAACCAAGTCTCAGTAATAGCAATAAGATCATACTCCCAAGCCCTAAGTTCATCTACCTTCTTGCATTAAAATAAATGCACCTCAGACTACCTGTCCCTTTTGCATTCATCATCTGCTCTCTGCCTACTCTTCCCCTTAGTCACACTGACTTCATTATCTAATTCCTTACAGGCTTTAGTTACTACCTCCTTACTGTCCACTAACTCCTCATTTGGTTCCCATCCCCCCGCCACACTAGTTTAAACACTCCCCAACAGTGTTAGGAAGAGCAGCCCCTAGGACATTGGTTCCAGTCCTGCCCAGGTGTAGACCGTCCGATTTGTAATAGTCCCACCTCCCCCAGAACCGGTCCCAATGTCCCAAAAATCTGAACCCCTCCCTCCTGCACCATCTCTCAAGCCACTCATTTATCCTGCCTATTCTTTCATTTCTACTCTGACTAGCACGTGGCACTGGTAGCAATCCAGAGATTACTACCGCTGAGGTCCTACTTTTTAACTTGGCTCCTAACTCCCTAAATTCTGCTTGTAGGACCTCATCCTGTTTTTTTTTTTTTAACCTATATCATTGGTGCCTATATGCACCATGACAGCTGGCTGTTCACCCCCCCTTCAGAATGTCCTGCAGTCGATCTGAGACATCCCTGACCAGTGCACCTGGGAGGCAACATACTGTTCGGGAGTTTCGTTTTCGACCACAGAACCGCCTATCTACTCCCCTTACAATCGAATCCCCTATGACTATAGCCCTTCCACTCTTTGTCCCGCCCTTCTGTACACCAGAGCCAGCCATGGTGCCATGAACCTGGCTACTGCTGCCTTCCCCTGGTGAGCCATCTCCCCCAACAGTATCCAAAACGGTATACCTGTTTTGGAGGGAGATGACTGCAGGGGACACCTGCACTGCCTTCCTGCTTTTTGGTCACCCATTCCCTCTCTCCCTCAGCAATCCTAATCTGCGGTGTGACCAATTTGCTGAACGTGCTATCCACTACTTCCTCAGCGTCGCAGATGCTCCAAAGTGAGTCTATCCGCAGCTCCAGAGCCGTCATGCGGTCTAACAAGAGCTGCGGCTGGACACTACTTGCACTTGTAGGAGTCAGGGACATCAGCCTTGGATTTTTTTTTGAAAGTAAACTTTAACTATTTACACAAAGCTAATGTAACAAAGCTGCTTTCATCCTAAAATGTACATTCTTCAAACTAAAACTAGCCAATAATTTTAAACCAACTGGAAATATTGATTTAACTTTAAATGGGTCAAACTGATGTAAATATTTTTATATAAAATGTGACAATATAGTCCGGGTCTGGAAAAGTTTCCAAAAACTTTACCTGAAGATGGGTATTGCAGTTTTTGTTTAGTTTTCAAAATTGTAACATTCTGAAACTTCATGAAAATTTATCTTGGGTGAAATAAAGATTTCTACTTGTTGCAATCAATACTTTTAACAACATAATAGTTCAGTTTTATTGTCGGATTTGCACTTTTAATAAATATAAACTGAAAAGTATATTAAAAGAAAAGGAGCCAAAATTAATTTTTTGGAAGGTTCACTCTCTTTTATTGCTCTTCTTCAAAATGCTCCACTCATGCTGTGGCAGTCCGTCAGCAGCATCCCCCTCAAACAACTATGTCATAGCGCAGAAACACACAAAAACAGAAATTGCTGGAATGTGCTCTTCACAGATACTCCCTTACTTGCTAAGTAGTTCCAGCAACCTCTGCTTTTATTTTGGTTTTCCAGCATCTGCAGGATTTTACCTTTTTGCATTGTGTGGTATGAAGGACAGTAAATATGAGGGAAAAGGTGCATTTAAAAAAATAGACTAAATGCATTAAGTAACATTTGGGTTTCACAGTTGCCATGCCCCTACATAGATGCACGAGGTGGACCCCAAAAGCCCTCTTTTTTTTTTAAACAATCTCAAGGCTGCTTACTGCCAGGGAGTGAAATGAATGTGTTTTGGGGTTGCATTCAATATATACTGAAACCAGTGAGCGATTACTGCACCGAATCCTAACTCCTTTTATATGCTTGAGCAATTTTAGAAGTTGTGCACACTGGAACCACTTCAGGTTGATATCCAAGCATCTTTGGATTTTATTCTGTGGCAGTGATTTCCTTGTGATGTGGTATTGCAATAATTGGTCAAGTTGAAGTGTCTTTCTCTTACACAGAGCAGCTTACTGAGTTACGACAAGAGTTTCTAAGACAGGATGATCAGCTACAGGAATACCGGAATAACTCTACAACCTTGCAGAAGAAATTAGAATATGAAAGGTGAAGTACTGATCCTGTACAGTGTCTGCACTCCAAGCTTTTCTCTTTTCCCTGTTGTTTTTTTTTTTAATGAAGATGTTCCTAAAGTCAAGTTGAACTTTATAAATTGTATTAAAAAAACCTAAAGAACTGTGGATGCTATAAATCGGGAACAAAAACTGAAGTTGCTGGAAAAGCTCAACAGGTCTGGCAGCATCTGTGGGGAAATACATCCAAGTTAATGTTTAGGGTCTGGTGATCCTTCCTCAGTTCTGAGCAAGGGTCACCGGACCCGAAATGTTAACTTGGATTTTTCTTAACAGATGCTGCCAGACCTGATCAGCTTTTTAAGCAACTTCAGTTTTTACTTAAAATATGGTTTGAACAGCATACAATTTACTAGTTCTCTACAATTTGGTATTGACTAGTTTTGGATAACTTCATTTTGCATTTTTCAAATTCTTAAGGTTTTAAAGCTGGTTTGGCTAAATATATGAACAATGAACTAAGTGCACTTGTGGTTTAAAATGTGTGGTCAGTGACACTATAAATATTTAAAAAGAGCATGGCTATGATTTTCTTTCGCCCCTTGTCAATAGCATTTCTTCCTTTTTGACATGAATCCGCTCATTAGCTATGAGCAGCTTATCGTGTAAAGTAAATATTTCCATTTGAAGTTTGTCAGGATATTGCATCATTTTTTATTGTCCCTGTCGGGCTTACTTTCTTTTTTCTGTTTTTTTCTTTGTAGACACTTCTACAAGCAACCATATATGTTGTAATTGTGGAAATGTGCATTTATCTGATGAATTCTGCAGTAGCACTAGGTTTAATGCAGTTGAAAACTAGCAGATGTGATGATGCTGAAATAACTTTTTTTGACAAGTAAACATTATTTACCTCTTACCTTAAAATACTAACATAGAAAAGGGAAAGTGGAACATTTTTCTGACTCTCAATCCCTGAATCTGAATTGTATGCATTAAAAGATTGAAAAAGTAAATGGATATTAAAACAGTTTTTTTTTAACATGAGATGCGCTTTGCGGAAACATTTGGCATACAACTAATCTGAAGTGGTATAAGGCAGAATAGCAGACAGATATTTCTGTGATGGGATGTTGATTAATGACCTTATAACCAATAGGAGTATTGCTCATAGATGATATAGCATAACCAGGAAAATGGGTTGTTGCATAATAAAACCATTTAATTTTAAAGGAAGTGAAATGTATACTTTAAAATAGTTTTGTTTTCACTTGAGATGTGGGTGATGTGAATTAAGAGAGGATATTGTGCTGGCCTTAAGTGGTAGGCATGCAAAATATTGATGCAAGCAGGTTACTTTGACTTCAGCTACAATCTTGAGTAAAGGAAACGAATTTAGGAGATAAAAGCATGATGTGGACAGAATTCTTAATGAAAGTGGTTTACAAACTGAATTGGAAGTAGTAGTAATTTAAATAAAAATCAGGTGCATAGCAAAACACACAGATCTGTCTTGTCCGAATCCTGGCAATACCAAGTATGCAGTGTAAGAGGCAATGATTTGGTTACTGGATTGAAATTTTAGTTTACACTTTGACTGTCACCCATTGGCACAAATGCTTTCAGCTATACTCCAAATGTGAAAGTGATTTATAATTCTGGTCAGGAGGTTGTCTAGGCACCTCTTGAGTTTGTTCTGTCTTGGGAGTATTGTATGCATGTGTTTGAAGATATTGCAGGATATTAGATTATGGTGTACTTTTAAAAATATTGTAGTCTCCTGCATTATGCTTGTCATTTTAAGAGATTTCTGTTGAGGTACTTTTTAAAAGCTAGAACATGTACCTCTAGTTTTATTGATTTATGGACTGTAATGTGTAATTCAGATCAATGATGGCTGTCCTTGTTTACAAATAACCTAATTTACAGCTCCACAAAGTGGGATTTGGAATACCATTTGGGGTCACAAGCTTTCAGACAGCAATGGCTGCTATGGAGCATCAATTTCCACTCCTGCTCGCTCAGGTCCTCTCCCCGTCCCCTCCCCGTCCCCTCCCCTCTCCACCAGCTAGGAGTTCACACCAAAGAAGCTTGATTAACCCTGGGCTGGGACTTTCCTCGCTGGAGCCTTGGAGGCTGCGAGGTAACTTTATAGAAGTTTATAAAATCATGAGGGGCATGGATAGCGTGAATAGCCAGGTCTTTTTCCTAGGGTGGGGGAGCTCGGTGGTAGGGGGCATGGGTTTAAGGGGAAAGACTTAAAAGGGACCTGAGGGGCAACTTTTTCAGTGGTGCGTGTATGGAATGAGCTGCCAGAGGAAGTGTTGGAGGCTGGTACAATTACAACATGTAAAAGGCATCTGGATGGGTACATGAATAGGAAGGGTTTAGAGGGATATGGGCCAAGTGCTGGCAAAGGGATTAGGTCAGATTGGTATGTCTGGTTGGCATGGATGAGTTGGACTGAAGGATCTGTTTCCATGCTGTATGACTCTATTCAGATTTGGTAGTATCTATCGAAAGAGTAACAGTCGAATATCGAGTTGAATATGACTTAGCTGAATGTGATTAGAATATTTGATTAGCTCTCATTAAAACCATTTGCAGAAATTGATATTAATATACTTTCCTTAACTGACAAATACTTATGCAGATAAACGTTTCATGAGAGTGCGTAATGGTTTATGTTCTTGCTTTGATATTTGATATTTCTTGCCTTGATAATCTTGACTCAAACAATAATATAGGCTCTTTTTGTAGCGAACTGGCAGAAGTGATGTTAAAATAAGACTTGTGTAGAAATGACCTATTTTATAACATCTTTCCTTTAATACTTTATAAATTTGTTCTCTCTAAATCTATTTCATTTTGCAATTGTATTTGGCAGATTTGCAATATGCTGCAATTACTGATCATTCTCATTTGTGACAGTGGTTTTCTGATTTGAATTACTCTTATCTAGATTACCTGTCATTGTCTGAGGTTGAATCATTTCAAATCTGTCAGCTGCTGCACTGTCTTCCCGTTGCTTATATCTCTTTGTACTGTTCCCATTCCAATGGTTGCATAGCAACTGATGCTATAATCTTAGTGGAGCAAAGAGGCAGATCTCTTTAAAGCAGCAGTTATTCTGATAACTTTGGAAGTTCTCTGTGCAGACTACAACCTGGGAATACTTACTTAATAAATGCAATATCCATTTCCTTCTATGGTTGCTTCTGTTTTGTGATGGCTGAAAAGTAGTTAAAGTGCTTGTTAAATAATGCAGAAACATGACACACTTGAATTATTATCTGAACACTATGAGCAATTGTAGTATACCATACTTTGCCAAGTATCAAACTTTAATTCTTTACAAGCTGCTTCACATGTGAATAGTTGTTTTCAATATAATATGAACTTTTAGTTGCTGTTTGTGGTGTTGCAGTGTGTTTGCCCTGTTTTGAGTTGGTGCTTCTTGTTGTCAAATCAGCCAGTTTGTTTTGTGCGTTGAATTTGGGAGCAAGAGCTACCTTCCTGTATCTGAGGTGCTTTTAAAAGTGCAGTTTGCTGTTTTTATGCATTGCTTATTGATCTTTTCTCTTGCAGCCTGCAATGTGGTCAACAGATTAGGGCACTGAAAGAACAGTGTGAAGAGAAGTTGAAGACTTTAGGAAAAATGCATAACCAGCCAGCAAAGCATGAAGACTCCATTAAACAAAACCAGGTAAGCTGCAGTGAGTTTTTGGAACGCTACGCAGTATTGTTCACTCAATATTGGTAAATATTTGTTTCAGTTCATGTATCAAATTTTAGTTGCTGAAAACTCATAATTGCAGTCAGCATATATCTAAACATTATGGTGTCTTGAGTTATGAAGTTTCTTTTGCTTTGATTTATTATTGTCACTTGTATCTAGGTAGTGAAAAAATTTTTGTGTGCAATACAGGCAGATCATAACATACATAGATCATAGGGTGATTGAACAGAGTGAGGAATACAGGATTTTGCCCTTTGCACTGAACTGTGATAGATCCACAGTTTCTCTATTTCCAAATCAGACTAATGTGTTTGTAAAGCTGAGTAAAATATCCAGCACCTCTCTAAAGAGACTGGGAAACTTGTGAATCTGATCTTCAAGGAAGAACTCAACGTGTTTCAGGCCCAAATTACTTTACTATGAACAAAAAGTAATGAGAACAGTTTTATCGGCTAGTAGTCCCCTCCAGCAATATTTGACTGACTATTGGAATTGGATGTAGTTTCCAGAATTTTTCTTTCCTTCGGAGTTAGCATTTGGGCCTGTAGTGAGGCCTGATATTAGCTGAGTGTTCATGGACATTCTCCCTTCACATCTGTAGAGGCCAACGTCTAGGTAGAACTGTAATTTTTCAAATTTATTCATTTGTGGGATGTATGCATTGCTGGAAAGATGCTTATTACCCTTTACAAAGATGAGATGATTCATCTTTGTGAATAGGGCTGAGAGACCTGCTAAGCCATTTCAGAGGGCATTTAAGACCTGTCTATAGGTCTGGAGTGTCTCAAACAAGACCGGGTAAGGATGACAAATTTCTTTCCCTAAACAGCTAGTTGAAAGTTTACAATAATAGGGGAATTGGTCATATTGCAAACATTTTCAGATTCCAAATTTACTGAGTTAATTGAATGTTAATTCCCCAGTTTTTATAATGGAATCGGAACTCGTCTTCAGATCATTAATTATCTTTTAGATTACAAGTTCAAAGGCATGACCACTACCTTGCATTATTTCAAAAGTTTCGAACTGTGCAATTTAATTGTAAAGTGAATGCATTCTTTTCTTTATGTTGTGTACCTGAATCCCATCTCTGATGTCCTAGTTTTGTTTCTGATCTATTCTTTTAATGTCTGCTGTATTGATGTTTTGTTGAAAATTCATTTGAATGTTCCTGAAGTCACAATTTTCAACTTGTAACAGACAGTGTACAAGGTATGACCATGATTTATAAAGAATGATTTGATCCATCCTTTCTGTAGCATTTCCTTAATCTCCTCAGAATGTGAGAGGAAGATACAGGGCATCATGAAGTTATGATGTCCTTGGCTAACAGGTGCTGTAGTCTTTGAAGGTTGATCTTTTGAGCAAGAGTCTTGCGTGCTGTTGATGCCTGCTAATGTTCCTCTGTTTAATCCTCCTGCTATTTCTATTTGCTTAAATTTCTCAGTCCAGAGAGGAGGATGAGCAAGTAAATAATCACCGGAAATCTGACTGGGATTACAACAAAGCCAAAATAAATCTTGAGAAGCAGACTGCTGACAGCAATAAACTTAGTATCAATCTTAATGGAGAAAACCAACAGCAGCCTCACCGAGATGATGGCAAGAGATTACTAAGTAAGAAAGGCTTGTAAATTGTCATTATGTAACCTAGCAATTGAAGTACAGATAAGCAAGTTTGAATAGTTTGTATGTACAGACCAGTTTGCATCTGGGGTTCATTTTGTATTTGGTATTTTGTCACTTTCCTTTGGAAAGTTGAATGTGTGTGTGTGTGTAAGTGTAATAGGGATCCAATCTTAATGGTCTTGAAATAAAATATTAAACCATTTAAAATTCTAGTACTGTTACTTTGCAGTCTGCATTCTTGGAAGCCAATATGTTTTTTAAAAAAAAAAGTCAAATTATGTTTATCTCACTTCTGCCAAATTTCAAATGGCAGCTGAGAATGTCTTTGTGCTATCTCATGTGATAGTATGGCTTTAAGAGGTGTACTTTGCCCTGTTTGTTTTTGGGAGAGGTTTTAAGACAGCAGTTTGGAGCTATCTATTTGAATCCAATAAAGTAAATAGCTTGTGTGAAGCCTTAAGGTTTTTAAAAGTTGGAGCAATAGAAGTAGCCTGAGTGGGTGGGGCAAGCTCCCACAAAATCAGGATTTTAAGTTTTTTTGCTTTCAGTAGTTGTTGCTGGGTCTTGAAACTGGATGGAAGCTGCGGTACATTTCTCTTTGCTACTGAGTTTTCGCGATGGTTTTCCTACTGCTGCTTGAGTTGCATGTGAGACAATCTGTTTTACTGAATTTGCCTTTGTCATTGGTGTGTTTGTGCGATGTTACTATCTTGGAACAGTTGCTGTTCAATAGTTAGTCTATTATTCTGTTAAGTTTTCCAGTAGAGTTAAGGTCTTCCATTTTCTTCCTCCTTTTGTTGTATTTTAACTAACTGTAGTGTATGAATAAAGTGCATTTTGCTTAATGTTCAATAGTTTGACCGATCAAATTGCTTTTGGAACTCAACACACCTTTCACTTACCTTTTTAAAATAAGAAAAATGTTAGGGTTGAGACCATCTAATATTTTAAAGTGATCTGGTCTGGCCCACAACATTCACCTTATTTTAGACTAAAAAGGAAATTCAAAAGGGAGAAAATCATCTGTTTGGTTTTGTTTTGATATGATCTAATACTCCTTTTAAACGTGGTTTTTTTTTTTTCAAAAATCTGTTGAAATGGGCCTTTCAAAAATAATTCAGGGATGTTAGCATCGCCAGCTGAGCAAACATTTATTGCACATTCCTAGTTGTCCTTGTAATGATGGTGATGGTGCTGCCTTCTTGAACTGCTGCAGTTCAGTTGGTACAGGTGCACCTACAATGCTGTTACAGGGAGCCCTGAGCTTTCTAACCCGATGGCAATATTTCCAAGTCAAGATGATGAAAGGCTTGGAGGGGATCTTGCAGAAGGTAATGTTTCCATTCATCTTCTGTCCTTGACTTTCAGGATGGTAGTGGTAAGGATCCTTGGTGAATTTCTGCCATACATGTAGATGGTAAAAGTCCCCATGCTCTTACCAGACCATTTGGCTGCTCTCTCTAGCTGGTCATGGTGTAACCTGAGGGTCACCATGCCTTGGCTATGGGGAGAGGTCGAGAAGGAGTGTCTTTCGTAGTAACCCCAGCCAGTGCAAGAATTGAGCTCATACCGTTGGTGTCACTGCATTACGAACCAGCCATCCAGCCTATTGGGCTAACTGACTGCTGTCACTGTGCTTTGGTGGTGGAAGGATTGGCCCTTCTCTAAGAAAAGAGATATTTGCAATCGAGGCAGTCTGAAGAAAGTTCACTAGGAGGAGAAGTTGAGTAGATTGGGTCTGTACTCGTAATAGAAGAACAAGGTGACCTTGTTGAAACAGTCTGCCCTTGGTCTGAAATTGGACAAGCACCTTGCAGGTGGGTTTGTAACTGCAGTTGAGGAATTTAAACTAGTTCAGCAGTGGGAGGGGACTCCATTTGGTACAGTGGAGCACAGCATATTATTGTAACAGAGCCAAGACACAGGAAGTTCAGATGTAATATTTCAAGAAAATAAGGTGAGGTTGGATGTCCTGTACTCTAATGCTAGGAGTATTATAGGTAAGGCAGATGATTTAAGGATATGGATTGACACATGGAATTGTGATATTGTTTCCATCACACAGATATGTTTGCAGCAGAGCTGGGACTGGCAGCTCAACATTCTGAGATATGGGTGAGACAAGAGAAGATGATGTTCCATTATTCAGGAGTCACTTACTACAGTGAGGAGGGCTGATATGTTGGAAGGATCTTCAAATGAAGCTATGTGCAAAGATCCTGAGAATAAAAAGGGGACAGTCTCAATGCTGGGAGTGTAATATAGGCCCACCAGTAGTCAGTGGGTAGTAGAGGAAGCAGCTATTTAGACCATCAATTGAGGTGTGTATTAAGAGGGTAATTTTTGTTAGGGGATTTCAAATTGCCAAACATTATTTGGAATAGTCAGTGTTTAGAGGGGGTGGATTTATTAAAATGTACGTGGGAGATCTCTTAATGTAAATATGTAGAAAGTCCAACAAGGGATGGTACAGTAAAAACCGAAAGAACTGCGGATGCTGTAAATCAGGAACAAAAACAAAGTTGCTGGAAAAGCTCAGCAGGTCTGGCAGCATCTGTGAAGGAATAAACAGTTAATGTTTCAGGTCCAGTGACCTTTCCTCAGAACTGATGGGATGGTACAGTACTGGTTTTGGATTGGAGAAAGATGTCTTAAAATGAGGCAGTATCTAGCCGTAGACTGGGAGAGCTACTTGTGGGGAAGTTACAGCAGAACAGTTGGAGGGGAGCTGGGAGTACAGGCCCAATGTGTTCCCTTTAGGGTGAAATGAAGGAGCAACAATCCCAGAGAACCCTAATGCCCAAGAATATTCAGAACTGGATTAGAAGGAATAAAGACCTTTAGTAGGTGCAAGGGAGCAAACCAATGGCCGTAGTGAAATACAGAAAGTACAGGGGATATCTTAAAGCAATTAAGAGAGCAAAGAGGGGCCATGAAGAAAAGCTGGTAGGTAAATTAGAAAGAATCCCAAAAAATACTAAAAGTATGTTAAGGGGGAATGAGAATAACCAGGGAATGAGTAGGTCAATCCTGGATGAAGAAGGCAATCTGTGGAGCTGGAGAATATTGGTAGAGTTTTAAATGAGTACTTTGCTTCTGTCTTGGGAGAAGGAAGGTGTAGGTACAGAATTTGTGGAGAGTGATTGGGGTTCTTGAGCAGATTGACATAGGAAGTGAGGAGGTATTAGTTTTTGGCAGACTTGTAAGTAGACAAATACCCAGGTCTGGATGAGTTGTATCCCAGGCTACTGTGGGAACCCAGGAAGAAAATTACATGGGTTTTGAACTAAATTTGTAAGGTCTGTCTGGCCGCAGGAGTGGTACCAGAGAACTGGAGGATCCCCCTAATGTGATTCCATTTTTCAAAAAGGGTGGTAGAGATAAACCAGGAAATTTCAAACTGATAAGTCTGTCATCAGTGGTAGGAAAACTGTTGGAGAAAATTCTGAAGAGAATTAACGTCCACTTGTCAAGATTTGATCAGGGATAGCCAGCATGTTTTTGTCAGAGGGGTATTATGCCTAATGTATTTGATTTGAATTTTTTGAGGGTGTGATTAGGTGTAGGTGAAGGTAGTGTGGTTGATGTAGTTTGTGGATTTCAGCAGAGACTTTGACAAGGTCACACATGGGACACTAAAGAAGATAAAAGCACATGGGATCCAGGATAACTTGACAAGTTGGATCCAAATTGCCCTAGTGATAGGAGACAGGGTGGTAGTAGAAGGATGTTTGTGACTGGAGTCTCGTGTCTAGTAGTGTACCACAGGGATCAGTTTTGGATTTATTTTATTGTTTGTCATCTTTATTGTTTGTGATATAATGTTGGGTGGCAGATGAGTAAGTTTGTGAATGCCCATGAGGGATGAGAACATGGGGGTGGGTGGGTGGCACATGAATAAGTTTGTGGGTGAACATTGGCCAGATGGTTGATAGACCATCAGATTACAAGAGCAGAATTAGGCCACTTAACCCATTTTTGAGTCTGCTGCACCATTTGATCATGGCTGATATGTTTCTCAACTCTATTGTCCTGCCATCTTGTAACCCTTGATTCCCTTACTAATCAAGAACCTATCTGTCTTAAATGCACGTAAATTATGCACGGTCAGGAAGGACAGACCACATCCAGAGTGAGAATCCAAGTCTGGCAGCATCTGTCGAGAGAGAGAGACACAAATGTTTCGGGTCCGGGCGACTGTCCTTTAGAAGGGTGTGCTTGATTGCCTTCAACTCCTGTCTCGAAGGTGTTTTAACTCGGATATTGTGTCAATGTGGCAGCCACTGCTGGTGAAGGAGGAAGGATGGCTGACCACTGCAATGATGATTTTGTTTTCCTGCTGGGGTGCACTCCAGATGCAGGAGGACCCCCAGTGGTGGAGGAAAGAAAGAGAGCATGGACATGAGTGAGCAGTGTTAGCAGGTGGTGGCTGCAGCATCGGCAGCGTGGACTGGGGCTCTTGGTGGCAGTGCCTGGAGCTTGGACTCCTGGTGGTGGTAGGCCCAAGCCAGGGTCTCCTAGGGTACTGGTGTTGTCACTGTTCCCAGAGTAGGGCTGCTTGAGGACCAGAACACCTTGCAGAAGCCCTAAAACTGTGCTTGAGACCTCAATTTGATCAAAAGATGAACTTAAGTAATTTTTTTATCCTTATTGTACCTCCAAAATGACACACATTGTGGCCATAAACGCTTTTCACTGTATCTTCAATTTGTGACAATAAAGAAATCATTCACTCCTCAGATTTCTGTGGCAGTGAATTCCTCAAATTTACTACCCTCTGAAGAAATTCCTCTTCATCACAGGTCTAAAAGGTTGTCCCTTTACTCTGAGGCTGTTCCCTTGGGTCTTAGTCTGTCCTACTAGTGGAAATATCTTCTCCATGACCTCTCTATCCAGACCTTTCTGTCTTTTAAGTTTCAATCAGATTCCCCTATATCCTGCTAAACTCCGTTGAGCACAAACTCAAAGTCCTCAGCAGCTGCTATGGTAAGATCTTCATCCCTGTAATCATCCTCTGGACAGCTTTCAACACCAACACATCCTTATACAGGGGTCTAAAAACTGCGCATAATATTCCAAATGTTGTCTGACCAGAGCCTAACTGCCAACTGAACTTGTATCTTAAAGTTTGAGAAACCTGAACTAGGACTCCTAAGTCTGATTACTTGGATTTTTGCCTCAACTACTCTCCCAGGCAGTGCATTCCAGACAACCAGCACCCTGAAAGAAATAAGAAGTCCTCAAATCTGCTCTAACTTATCTGTCCTTCACCTTAAAATTATGGCCTCTTGCTATTGACCCTTCAACTAAGTGCAGCAGCTGCTTCAGATTTCTGAAGCCTTTCCCCATTTAGAAAATGATGTATACCTCTCTTCTTCCTACCGAAGTGCATAATTTCACATTTTTCTCATTGTATCCCTCTGCCACTACTTGGCCAAATCTTCTCGCCTGTCAAAGTCCTTCTCTAGCCTTCCTTAACACGATATCCCTCCTCCAATCTTTTGTGTCATCTACAAATGTAGCAACAATACCTAATATATAATGTGAATAGTTGTGGTCCTGATACAAACCTATGTGGAACTCCACTAGTCACTGGCTGCCATATTGAAAAAGACCCCTTTATCCCTACTGTCTTCTGCCAATCAGCCAATCCTCTATCCATGCCGTACCTTATCCCTAGCACCGTTGGCTGTTATCTTATTTAGCGATCTCGTGTGGCACCTTGTCAAAGGAGAGAAAGATGATCTTAGTTTGCAGGAAGTTTTCAACAGATTGGTCAGATGAGTTTAGTTTAGTGGCAGATGGAATTTAACCCTGAAAAGTGTGAAGTGATCCACTTGGTAAGAAGTAATCGGACAAAGGAGTTCTTGATGAATGGCAGGACACTAGGAAGCTCAGGGTCAGGGACC